ACCGACACAAGGGACGCAACCCACGGCAAACGGGTTGGTGGATCAAATATACCCCCGGGTCCACAACAGGGGGTTGAAGAGCTCTTAGCGTTACCCAGCACCCACCACGAGGAGGTGGCTCTTCACGGGTGCCAAAGACGCAGGAAACGTATGGCAACGTCAAAACATCAATATCTCTAAAGAGTTATACATGTAACATGACGACATCGCATGCTTGAATATTTAAATATGTCAATTTACACATCAAAACAGAAATAAAGGAATCATTATGTAGCTTTTCTTACGATGTATTGGTAGCAGCTCAATTGGCGGAGATGTGAATAATAGGGGTAGTTCCGAGTTGTATGAAATGGGTAGCTGACGGGTCAAAGGGTCGGGTAGCCCTTGGGTCTATGGCGCGGTCTCAACTGGGGTAATTTAGTGGTTAGAGGTACTGGTTGTTCAGATATCTAAGATGTGGGTACCTCAGTAACTGTCTAAGGTGTCAATAGGTTTCTAGTGCAGTTACCTTAGTAGTCCAATGTGTATGTAGATTGGTAGTATAAGGAAAGGTTAGCTCAGTGGTATATGCTACTGGAAGTGCTGTGGTCTGAGTACGGGCAACGTGTGGGTGAGTGATCTAAACTGAGGGTAGATTAGTGACCAAGGGCGCCTCCAGCTCAGCCATTTAAGGATGGTGTCTGGACGTAGTGTTTGTGATTTAAGAGTGCATTCGGGCTACATGATGGCCTTATGCAATTGACTGAGTCTGGTCCATCATGAGTATCAAGATCAAGATGGTGTATTGTACCATAAGCCTCCGGCCTGTATACACAGTGTTATATGACAGGCAAATTATGGACATTGCAAATAGTGGAAAGCATTTGAATTCAGACTCTTTGAAATCAGACTCTTCTTTAATGACAGCGAATGTGTCAAAAACAAGGCTAATTTTACATGAGCAGATTGGTCTTCTGATGCTAAAATTCTTATAAGTGTTTCCCTTGTAGGGTGAGACAAATATTTCTGTGGAATCTACTCATTTTCTTAAATCGGCATAAGCATCACATATAAATGATGATATTCGTCTTTGATATCCGCCATACAGACAGGGCAAAATCTTAAATGTTTGGCCAGTAACTGTTTACGGCCAGTATTGATCATTATGTCTGTCGAACCAAGTCTAAATCTAATAGTTGTATTTCTGAGTTTCTTGCTTGTAATGTTTGATAGATTTTTGTAAAGTTTGATCAATGTTTTAAAGGATCTTTATACATCAAATCTAGAACTTGAAACTAAGGGTATTCATCAAATTCTAACGAAACATATCCACGGCCATTTGACGACATTCGTTCACAAACAGCTACTCGTTACCAACGACTTGGAAAATCCACACATATCCCAATCCATATGCAAAAAACAGATATCTTATACTTGATGCCCATGTTACATAGCCAAGATTATCTAAATTAAGCATCCGAATCTTTGGATCTCTCTGACAATGAGTAAGACTTAGGTATACCAGGGGATGGAGTGATGTTTCATTTATCAATAAAAATACGAAGACGCAGGAAAACTTATGGCAATGTCAAAACATCAATATCAATATCTCAGATAAGAGATCTAGTTTTTTGTGCTTTTATATTTTATCTTGTCAAACATGGCTGAAAGATTATGTCATAATGTGTATGTCTCGTTATACAGCACACCAATCAGGTGTCGGGAAGCCCCTTGGCCGAGAGGAACAACTGACACGTGCTCTCTGCATATTCATGACAGTCGTTGCAGTCTTTTGTATTATTGTGTTTGCCGCATACATCGTTGTAGTCTCAAGACAGGTTCCTTGTATTGACTGTCTACCTGGTGGTAGCTTCTAGGGATGGGTGTTTAATTCTTGTGTTCACTGTGTATCAGGTGGTAGTCTGCAGACACAGGCGTTCATAACTTTGTGTTCACTATCTACCTGGTGAAAATAGTCTTTCACCGTTATCCTTGAAACTCGTGGTAGTCGTTCACCACCTCACAGCCGGTGATCTTGTTAGCTCTCGAACATGACACTGAAATATGTGAGTGGCTGTGTGAAACTACTCCTGAAATTAACAGTTTTTCTGATGTTTGTGTTTTCAACATCAAGCACGAAGCAATGTACACCTAAGACGACTGAGAGGGTCGATTATGTCATCAGGAACGTTGGCATCAAGCTGTGGCAGCTTAAATGTGCTGAAAATGGTCAATGTTTGAGTATTGAATACAATATTGACACTTTAACCTGTCGTTTATCAAGAGCTGAATCAAAGAAGATCAAGAAGAGGGAAGGATATGCTATTCTTGCAAGGGATCATTCACGTGTAAGTATCAGTATCCAAAAGCCTGTCCATAACGACAAGACATCTCTACTGAATTCCTACTCATCAGCAGGTGTTAATCAGTTAGTTTAAAATTGATTGTGAAGAGCTGAAATATCAGTTGTTAACCTGAAAATCCACTAAAACATATTCTCTAAATGGGGACATGTGTCTGTCAGAAGTTTGGTCACTGATATTATTTGAAATTATCCTCCACATGCAGATCAAAAACCGCTTTACACAGCTTCTGAGCATAGGTCGTATGACATGCTTTGAAATCTTAAAAAGTGCATTCTCGATTTTTACTTCAAAAGCCGATTCTGAAGGATGGTGCTGGCGAAATATCACTGTACATAAAGGGAGCGTTGTATGTTTACACACTCCCGTGTGGTATTATCAAAAACAATTTCAGTCACATCTAAAGTTCTTGCAAGTATTTGAGGTTGAACTAGAATATAAGTAAATGCAAAAATTATGATATAATCATGAGATATAGAGGACAACAAAACAGAATTCTTCTTTCTCCGTTTTGGAGGTTCCGACTGGTTCCTGTACATCCAGTATGTGCCGTTTCAGTCAACGATGTTTGAAGACTCGATCTGGAAAAAATGTCTGTGTACAAGGTAATGGCCGGTATTTTTAATATTGTTTTCTCATATACTCCCTAGGTGGGTGTGGGCAGCTCTTGATCTATTATTTGTCGTGACAATCTCTGTCACAATAGGATTTCCTCTTATGTTAGACCAGTGCGCAGTATCTGGTGCTTCACTTCCACTTACACTAATTGTAGCGATAGGGAATAGCGGTGTGGCTGAATTATACTTGTTTTTTTTGTGTTCATTGTGCTACTAGTACTGTCAATTTAAAGCCGCCATTGTGACGTCATGGCAACGCCGCGTCACAACATTTGTATACAGCTGCATTGTGACGTCATGACAAAGTGACGTCATAACAGAATCCGTTTAACTGTAATCACTTCTCCCTGAAGATAAAAGTGAAACATGTTGGAGAAGATCCGTGTCGTGTGATTATATCAGAAACTTCTTATATATGTACTACTGTACGCTCGGTATTCTCATCACTTTCTTTATATGTATATATATATATACACGTGGAAAAATGTTAAGCACAGCGGTAATTTTTACGTCAGGGATATTCACACCTAGTACGTTGGTAAGACTGCATTAATTTTCTGTAAGGTCATGTCACAAAAGGGGCAGTTTCCTTCAACGTTTAAAAAATTAATGTGGCAGGTTATGTGGATCCAAATTATTTGTGCTACAGGTTTGGAGGAAGAAAAGATCAGGCAATGTGCTGTGTATGTGATTAGACAAATATGTTTACTTCTGTGAACATTGTATCTAGTGTACCCTCCACATGCTTGGACAACTTCCTGTACACTACGTCTATCGCCTCATCCGTTACAGAGGATACTGTCGCAATTCGTAACCACAGCACTTTGAACTAAGATTTTGAACAGGTGTTACACGTACAGTCACCCTGGTTATAAGGCCACCCCGGGTATAATGCCATATGTTTGCCAGAATGGATTTCCTGCCAACATAATACCCTGGCTATAATGCCAAACTGGATATAATGTCATTTGCAATAGGTTTTTGGAACAATAGTCATTTTCCCTTGGTTATAATGCCAATTCCTCTGGATTCATGTAGTATAATACCTTTATTGGTTAACTGACATGACATGACGCAAATTAATGCTTTAAGTAGTTTTGTAATCCCAGATAGGATAACACATGTGACAATACACTTCCTGCCACCTACAACAGTAAGTCACCTGCAGTCCTTACTTGTATCCGTCGCCCGATAAAGTCATAAATGTGCTCCAGGGGCTTAAAGTCTGGACTCGTTGCGGGCTCAGAATGTGAGTTATTCTGATTGAAAGCTGACACTGCACGAATACGGCGTCCTAGAGCTGTCATCCATAAATACTGGTCTTGTAGCAAGACTTTGATTATTCAGGGCTTCCTGCAAATTCCAAGTACGTTTACAGTAATTGGGGACACATACATACTGACGTAACCTCCACCAAAGGCAACAGTTGGTTGAATGTGTTTTGTTGCATATACTGTATTTCGCTGTCTCCAAACACTGAGGTGTCCATCATTTACACGAAGAAGTAGTCGGCTTAAATCAAACCAATGTATTCTTCACCAAGTTCTCAGATTTCAGCGTTACCGTGTCATCATCAAGCCAAACCATGAAAGATGTTTACAGTTGTCAACACAATAAATTTGTTGCTACGATATTCTAATGTTCAATCAATGTTTGATGCTTTAAGTCATCTAAATGTACCAAGTAAAAACAGAAAAGAAGATTCCGTAATTAACCACAATGACGTCCTTTAGTATGGAAGTGCGAGCCTGACACAGTAGTGGGGATATTCATCAGAAGTAACTGGAGACTTTGCTTTGGGACTTCCAATTTCTAATCAATGTGTTAATGGCTATATCTTATCAATGCCCGAAGTCAAACGGATGTGTGCTGATGTGACACAAGGGCTTCTCGTCAAACATTCACTCAACAAAAGCATTAATGCATTGTTTTAGCTCCAAGGCTAGGCAAAGAGATTACTGCACCAAAATCACTATTTGTGGCACAGTCACCGCACAGGTTGTTATACATTCTATATTCTGTTACATATTTACTGTCATGAATGGTGCTAACATATTGCCGGCATTGTATCATCGCATCCACAGATCAAAAGCAGAACGACCCTGAGAAATCTCCACAACATAAAGTAGATATGCAGGAAACATTTGCCAACAGCCAACTTCACGAGGCCTGCAGGAAGGGGGACCTGGACCGAGTGAGACACATCCTGTCCCAGGGTTTGGTCGACATCAACAGCAGAGACAAGAAGCACGGACGAACAGCACTCATGGTAGCAGCACAGACGGGTCATTGCAGAGTATCAGACTTTCATATCAGTAAAGGGGCTACTATATCAGATCTGGATAAGGCCTGTAAGAACGTCCTACACTGGGCATGCAAGGGTGGACATGTGGGTATGGTGAAGCGTGTACTCCCACAATACCGTTATGGTAAACGTGGGAGATGTCCCACTCTTTTACAGGCTGCAATGAGGGGACACAGAGACGTGTTTGAGTTTCTCGTGTGTACGGGAAGGAGTGTGTCAGAAGTTGATGGGGTCGGCAGCAACGTCCTGCACTATGCCTGCAGGGGCGGACAATTGGCTATGGTGAAGTATCTGGTTTCACAAGGCAGTGTTGATATTAACAGTAGTAATAGAGACAGAATTACCGCCTTGATGATGGCTGCATTAAGAGGAAAAACAGATGTTATCAAGTTCCTCATAAGCATGGGAGCTAATGTGTCACATGTGGATATTATGGGCAACAACGTCCTGACTTTGGCCATCATCAAAACACACTTGGCTGTGGTGAAGTATCTAGTTTCACAAAGCAGTGTTGATATTAACGGTGTGCGTAGAAGCGGAAGGACTCCCCTGATGACGGCTGTATCATCCGGAGACAAAGACGTTTTTGACTTCCTCGTGAAAAAAGGGAGCTAATGTGTCACATGTGGATGACAATGGACACAACATCCTTCATCTGGCCTCTTCATATGGACGTATGAAGATAGTGAAGTACATCCTGTCAAAGAACCTGGTTGACATTAACGCCAGGGACAAGGTTGGGAATACGGCAGCAATGATAGCAAAGCGTAATAGAAAACGTAGCGTCTATAACCTTCTAGTTTCGCGGGGTTGTCCAGTGAAATAAGTGTAATGTTGATGTCTTGCATCATGATATGTTGGCGGTAACCAGTATAAGTGTGTGACAATCTACTTTTATAACAACTCCAAAACCGTTCAATATCTTTCAGCAAAACGTGGCACATATATCAAACATGCCTTATAGTCTGTTGCTACTTTTTGCTAGTTTATTGTCCTTTCTTCATGGAAACAACTTAGACCTAACTGAAAGGGAGCAGTACTAAAACTATTCAACATTTTAATTTGTGCTGGGGTGGTGCCTTTCGCATTTACTAATTTCTTAAAATATGTTTTACTTGTTTCGAAGACAGCAAGTCTCCTATCTTTAAGTTCGACTGGACCATAAAACTGACTCTAAAACTATATTCTCCCCAAAATAAAACGCATGGGTGATACTGAAAGTTTTTGGGTTTTTCCAAAAAAAGTTAATGATAGCTATAATTTCGCCATTTTAATGCTGGTTTGTGTACATAGAACGAACAGACACATACGAATATACAAAAATTAATCTTCGAAGAGTACGTGCCATGTTAACTGACATTTGATCTTTGATACCGTGTAATTTGGCAGCAACTGACCCAGAATTACATGTACATGTGTTTGTCACTTTAAAGGTAACAGATTAATTCCTGGAAATACACCTATGCGTTTTGGGAGAGTATAGTAGGTTTTTTCTAAAATAATCTATGCCCAGAAGAACATAGGTTTTCAACTGGTGTAATTTTCTTTTTATGTTTAGTCTTAATCGTTGGTTTCCACATGTAGGGAATAATACAACGCATTGTTTCACGAGCAGGTAACAGACATTGATGTCATGTTAGTCTCATGGCCTATTTTTTGTGCAGTGAGGACATCTTTCAGTTTTCGTAGCAAGTTGCAGATATTGGTGTTCTTATTATATATTAGGCTTTGATTTGTGGAAGGCATGAAGGGTATCGTGCCTTGTATGATGAGCAATGTAACGCACGTTGATGTGAAATTGGGTTTTACGTCGTGCTTGAGAATATTTCGCTCATATGACGACACGTTGATGTGCACGTGGTATGAACATTGTGTATGATTGTCTGTGTATGACTGAACGATATGGTACAGTTTAAGACGAGTATGTTGCATACATTGGTGATCTCGTGTTATATATCATGCCTTTTTGACGAATAGGTAACAGACACTGATGATTACTTTTTATGTTAGTCTTGGTCGTTGTTTGTACAGTGGGTGGCGGGTATCGTGCCTTGTTTGACGAATAGGTAACAGACACTGATGATTACTTCTTATGTTAGTCTTGGTCGTTGTTTTGTACAGTGGGTGGCGGGTATCGTGCCTTGTTTGACGAATAGGTAACAGACACTGATGATTACTTCTTATGTTAGTCTTGGTCGTTGTTTTGTACAGTGGGTGGCGGATATAGTGCCTTGTTTGACGAATAGGTAACACACACTGATGATTACTTCTTATGTTAGTCTTGGTCGTTGTTTTGTACAGTGGGTGTCGGGTATCGTGCCTTGTTTGACGAATAGCTAAAAGACACTGATGATTACTTCTTATGTTAGTCTTGGTCGTTGAGTTGTACAGTGGGTGGCGGGTATCGTGCCTTGTTTGACGAATAGGTAACAGACACTGATGATTACTTCTTATTACTTCTTATGTTAGTCTTGGTCGTTGTTTTGTACAGTGGGTGGCGGGTATCGTGCCTTGTTTGACGAATAGGTAACAGACACTGATGATTACTTCTTATGTTAGTCTTGGTCGTTGTTTTGTACAGTGGGTGTCGGGTATCATGCCTTGTTTGACGAATAGCTAAAAGACACTGATGATTACTTCTTATGTTAGTCTTGGTCGTTGTTTTGTACAGTGGGTGGCGGGTATCGTGCCTTGTTTGACGAATAGGTAACAGACACTGATGATTACTTCTTATGTTAGTCTTGGTCGTTGTTTTGTACAGTGGGTGGCGGGTACCGTGCCTTGTTTGACGAATAGGTAACAGACACTGATGATTACTTCTTATGTTAGTATTGGTCGTTGTTTTGTACAGTGGGTGGCGGGCATCGTGCCTTGTTTGACGAATAGGTAACAGACACTGATGATTACTTCTTATGTTAGTCTTGGTCGTTGTTTTGTACAGTGGGTGTCGGGTATCGTGCCTTGTTTGGCGAATAGGTAACAGACACTGATGATTACTTCATGTTAGTCTTGGTCGTTGTTTTGTACAGTGGGTGGCGGGCATCGTGCCTTGTTTGACGAATAGGTAACAGACACTGATGATTACTTCTTATGTTAGTCTTGGTCGTTGTTTTGTACAGTGGGTGTCGGGTATCGTGCCTTGTTTGACGAATAGGTAACAGACACTGATGATTACTTCTTATGTTAGTCTTGGTCGTTGTTTGTACAGTGGGTGGCGGGTATCGTGCCTTGTTTGACGAATAGGTAACAGACACTGATGATTACTTCTTATGTTAATATTGGTCGTTGTTTTGTACAGTGGGTGGCGGGTATCGTGCCTTGTTTGACGAATAGGTAACAGACACCGATGATTACTTCTTATGTTAGTCTTGGTCGTTGTTTTGTAGAGTGGGTGGCGGGTATTGTGCCTTGTTTGACGAATAGGTAACAGACACTGATGATTACTTCTTATGTTAGTCTTGGTCGTTGTTTGTACAGTGGGTGTCGGGTATCATGCCTTGTTTGACGAATAGCTAAAAGACACTGATGATTACTTCTTATGTTAGTCTTGGTCGTTGTTTTGTACAGTGGGTGTCGGGTATCGTGCCTTGTTTGACGAATAGGTAACAGACACTGATGATTACTTCTTATGTTAGTCTTGGTCGTTGTTTTGTACAGTGGGTGGCGGGTACCGTGCCTTGTTTGACGAATAGGTAACAGACACTGATGATTACTTCTTATGTTAGTCTTGGTCGTTGTTTTGTACAGTGGGTGGCGGGTACCGTGCCTTGTTTGACGAATAGGTAACAGACACTGATGATTACTTCTTATGTTAGTCTTGGTTGTTGTTTTGTACATCACAAGGGATAAATATTTCGATGTCAAAACACTGAAGGATCTTGTTTATCATATTAATTATCATTTAATAATATTTAAAAGGAATAGAATTTCTTGATAAATTTTGAATATGTTTTGTAAATAGAATAACGGTATTTTAAACATCGTAGTAAAATTAGCAACTGCGATTGTTAGTGGCTGTATTCTTAGTAAAGTATCGTAAATTATTGTCCTCCTGAGAGGGTACGTAAGTCCCAACACTTTCAAAGTGAAATTTAAGCTTACTGGACTTTTAAAATTTGGCTAAACTTTTCCAACAATCACCAACAGATGAACGAATGGTGTAAATCCTACTAGGGACCATGCAGGTAGCAAAGGTACTGTAGGTCCTCATGGTGTCTAGTATGGTGATCTCCCTTCAGTTGTTTGCGATCTATAGCCCGTGTTTTATACTGTATTGTCTTCTTCAATTTGAATGTTTTAGCTTTGCTAGTTTTATATTCATATCTGTGATTCTCTAGTATTTGTACTGTCCATTGTCGACAGGGTTTAATCTTCCAAATGTTTTCACTTTTTATTGTATAAATTGTTTTCGTCACAATATGGCTGACTAAGTGATTGAATGAGTTATTATTTAACGTCACCTCGGCAATATTTCAGCTATATCGTGACGAGAATACTTGACATTGAAATAGAATATATAGAGAAATTAGAAAACCTGCCGACAAAGGACAATAAACGCACTAGAATATCACAATTACAACTAAAACTAGTATGGAGAGTTAAAACTGATAGCACTATTTGGACAATACAATATAAAAACAAGCTACAGATCGCCAACACCAGAAGGTAGATCACCATACCAGGGACCATGGGGACTTACAGTACCTTGGCTACCTGCATGGACCTTAGTTGGATTTACACCATCCCTTCAGCTGCTGGCGATTGTAAGAAATGTTAGCCAAAATTAAAATGGCAAGAATGCTACGTTCAAAAATCCTGGCAAGTTTAACTTGACTTTGAAAGTTTTGGGACTTACGTACCCTCTCAGGAGGACAATACTTTTACGCTACGTCAACCCCTTTGAAGGTACAGCCACTAACAATCTCAGTTACTAATATAAACTACCAACAATAAAATATTTAGCTATTTACAGATCAGTCAACAAATCTAATTCTTTTAAAAATTCAACTATTAAATGATAATTAATATTATAAAAAAGATCCTTCAATGTTTTGACATTGAAATATTATACCTTGTGATGGAACATTCAACACAGTCAAGCATGACATGCTTGACTGTGATTCTTTCATCACAAGGGATGCAAAACGGAGGATCTTCGCCTTTCAGTAAATATTCGTGAGTATATCTAGTGTGGCCAATGATCGTCGCATAATGACCTCTTCAAATCTAGATTGACAACCCAAGTAGGTGTAACCAATATAAGGTTTTATTTCATGTAATTTATTTATACCTACTTGGGTGTTCCACTTCTTCTGCATCGGATCACGGATGTAGGTTCTAATGCTGCTAGCTTTGTAATCAAAGTATGGCATAAGAAGTGGTGTCACAGATTTGTGTAGTGCTGCCTTGGCAGCAAGATCAGCCATTGTGTTCCAAGAAATACCAACGTGGCTGGGTAACCAACACAAGACGATGTCGCATTGGCCAGTGAGTGAGTGAGTTAATATCTAATGTCACATCGGCAATATTTTAACCATATCGTGACGAGAACATTTGATATTGAAATGAAATATATGTATATTATAAAAACCTGCCAACGAAGGGCAGTAAAACAA